GGGGATTTGTTATTCTTTCATTGAAAAAATTGGCAAATTTAGTAATATAGATGGACTTGATGGTATGCTTCAGAAGGGGGTAAAAATATATGATCAAGTCATGGGTAGTAAAGCCAATGTATTTGTGATCTATGGGGAATCTTTCACCATGATATTTTTGAGATGGTTGCAATATATACCAAGAATAGAAGAGGTAAGAACTAAAGCAAAAGGTATTGTATGGATCATGACAGCCCAGATAGAGCTGACTTCCTCAGCATTTCAACACTCTTGGGGTACAGAAATAATCCATGGGGCCCTCTCCTTCTCCATGCCCTCTGCTGATCTACCAGAGTTCCGCTCATTTGTTGCAAAACAACACCCCTTCTTCAATGGAAAGGAAAATGGGTTTATCAGTCAGTTTTGGCAAGAAGCTTTCAACTGTGTATTCCCAGATGTGATCTTGAGTGATGTGCCTGAAGACATTTGCACTGGGACAGAGATTTTTATAATGTTGCACAAGGGGCATGTAAGAGATCACTTTCAGAAGGATCTAACCTTAATAATGAGGTGTGCAAACAATGAGGTGTGCAAACTAGTGGTCAGAAGGTGACAGGTGCTTCCATCTTTAATAAGAAGATACTTTTTAAACAATCCTTGAATTTTTATTTTTTAGTTTGAGGAGAGCACTTTCTGCCACTCATTGGTCTCCTTTTATAATCACTGCCTTGAAAGAGGTATTAAGAAATGATTCAAAAATATTTTGCTCTGTAGCCATTGAAACTACCTAACTAAAAGTTACAGAACTGATATATGTTAAGTTTCATACACATAGTCAAAAAGTGTCCTACCTGTGGAATTTTATAGATATTCAAGATGATGGAAACATGAAGAGAGATTTCAGCATCCAATCCCCCTAAATTATGATGGATATTGCAGCTGTAATTGGGGATCAGCATCTCCACTGATGACCGAAGTAGCATTGTAGCCTAAAAGTCTTCTGAGCATCGTCATAGCTGTCAAGGATGCCGAAACCCAAGGTGAGATTGGGCAAGATCTGTGGGTTTTCATTGATCTCCTTTACTGCAAATGCCATAGCCAGGATGTGTTGGTAATTCTTAGGAACTAGACTACAATGAGAGATTATGAATAGAGCTAAATAATATCAATGTTTAGCTTCAGAACACATAATTCTCTCCACCTCTTGAGATAACAATGCTCAAATTAAGTTTTGAATTAGTAAAACCTGACACTGATATGTAACTTTTTCACAGATACACACTGAAGGATTTGAATACACATATATGGAGATTCTCCATGGAACTTTATTATCTACAGTGTTACTTACTGTGGCATTAGAATTCTTTAAAGAGAAGAAAGAGGAAATCATATTCTTAGATAGCAAGAGTCAAAAGGATGGAGATAAAGGCATTCATATATTTAAATATTTTCTAATCCGCTGAACCATGATTGCCGCTTTCCTTCCATAGAGGGGACAGCTTGGAGGAATTATTCTCTCTTTTCGTATCTTGCTTATTTTGGTAGAATTTGTTTAGAGAAATTCACTGGGATGCAAGTAACGGCTTTCATGGCCACTAATCCAGGATCTAAGACAAGTAAACAAAGCATAATCAGAACTATAAAAGAATACATAAAACATCTAAGATAAGTATGTGGGGATAGCACTAGCCAGCTTTGTTGAACTTTCCTGTTCCACTATTCAAGGGGGTATCTGTGTTGTTTGGTTGGGGACTAACCCTCCATTTCCAGATGCTGACGTGCACTTCATGGCTGAGGAAATTATACTAGAATGTAAGCTTTTGTTATGTTTGAATCTATCTTGAGCCAAACGGGTTTCTTGGCAACTGCATGTTTCATTGTAGCTTCCCTTGCTAGGAAGTTACCTGACACTTTCAATGAAGCCAAGTTCATCACTTTCAGCTTGTTGGTCTTCTGCTGTGTTTGATTATCTTTTGTACCAACCTAGTTGTGGCTATGGAGATATTTTCGATCTTAGCTTCTAGTGCTGGTTTGCTGGGCTACAAATGTTTCAACAAATGTTACATTATTGTGTTGAGACCCAATTTGAACAATTGGGAACATCTAATGACAAAAAGAAAGTTATGATTTTAACTATGTCTTTTGTGATGCCAAAGTGCCCAAGAAGGAAGTAATAGTCAATAGGTGGTACCCCTACTGTGGATGAGTGAAAGGACATGGCCAAGATGATGCCCAGTGGAAGGGAGTAGTTTGAAGCCTATGAAGAGCCAAGGATTCTCCACCTGTCATGTTAAGAAGACTTTTTTCTCCCCAAAGAATATTTGGAGCTGACTATCTGAAGGTCCCTATGGTCACAGGACAGAACACCCATTCCCATCATCCATCTCCTGAGAAATAACAAGTGTAAGGAGCTTGACTTCCTTGCTCATAAGAATATTTTTTATTTATTTATTAAATTTTATTAAATTTAATATACCTCCAAGTCTCCAGTGCTGGTAGACTGAAGAAGCAGCTGGGAGTTCCAGTCAGAGGAACAAGGACTTCTGTATCTATTTTCTTGAAAAGATATGAAATGCAACAATTCGCCTATCAATCTCATTTAATAAGAAATCAGTCTATAACTTTCTGATCCTTTTCTTTTCTAAGATTCACAATTATAAAATTAAGCTTTGTTAAGCATTGGTGTATAACTGAGAAAGGGTAATGTTAAAAGTGACACCTCTGTTTCATTTTTAGGCAGAATGTGATGAGACAGCAGTGTTGCTGACCTCTTCAGATGAAATAAATTCTGCCTAGTTTCAGCTAGACATCTCTGAGGTCTTCACCAGGAGGCATTTATGAAATATTACCCCCTATTTTGGGAGGCAAAGCAAGAATGAGGAACAGCAGAAGTGCCACCAATAAAGACCTAAGTTTTGCTGAACCAATGCAGAGAGTGGTATACCCTACCTCAAAACAAATAAATAATGAAATTCAGGTCTCATTCTTTCACTCAGTTTTCTGGGATACAAAACTTGGAACTTCCATTAGCATAAAACATAGGAACAAACAAACAAACAGGAAGGAGACATGAAATCCTTGAGAAAAACAACAACTACTTAAAATATTAAAAAGAGTAGGCACTGAAAACTTCAGCAAAGATCTTCACCAACTCTGGGCGGTTGTTAAGGACGATGTGGAACTGACCTCCCTCAGAAGAGTCTCTTAGAGGCTTCCATTGCCAGTTTTGGAATGACTGGTAATGTCCTCTTACTGGATGATGTATTTTTTTTTTCTTTCTTTCATCACTGGCACACTGGCATTAGATAGGAGGCAAAGGTCGGCAAGGACAGTCTTCATCCCTGACAGGCTTTAGTTGCTTCAGGATTGTGCCTTCTTGGCAATATTTATGTAATTTAGTTACAATTAGTTCATTAGAAAATGCCACTGAAACAGGCCAGCACATGAACATAGATTGCATCCAGACTAGCATGGTAACATTTATTGGCTGGCTGATTATATCAGTGCCTGAAAATCCTTCATATGGCAGAGGAGTTCTAGATCTTCCATCCACAACCCTTTTGCACCATCCCACACATCCTTTAAAAAAGAGAGGACTGATGCCAGGAGAAAATGCAAGTCTTTTATTAGGCATAGTGAGGTTAAGGAATGAAGTAAGTTTTAGAGAACTTACTTATATATATGCATGAGTGTGTGTATGTATGTGTGTATGCGTGCATGTGTGTATAAAACAAATGTATATAAATGTAGATAGACAGACAGACAGGACAAAATAGAACTCAGAACACAAAGGCACAGACCAAATCAAACCATCATGAAATAATTCACTATTTCATTAGGTTATTTCAAGTACATTGATATTTTTCACTGACAGAAACATTTTTTGAAACTTTTAATGTGTAAATTGCAGTTTAATTTTCCACTTTTTCTGACTTAGCATTCAACATTTACTTTAACTACCAGTTTTGTCTCATAATGGAATTGCAGAATTCATCTCCTGTTACGGCCTACGTTGAAAGGTATTATTTAAAGTCATTGAATTTTTGTCCAATATTGGAAACCTTATTTTCTTCGGGTTCAGTTTCAAGGCTTTTTCCTAATACAGAGAAGTGAATATGGAAAATATTAGACTCTAAATATAACCGTATATAAAAATAACTGTAACAATTTCAGCCATGAAAATATGGTATTGTGGAGTCCCTGGTGCTCTCTGAGCTTCGTTTCTTGCTTGCAGACCTTTCATTACCCAACTAGGTAACATCGTCAGCACTCACAAACATGCTCAGAGAGCACCAGGTAATCCACAGTTCAACCGTGAGCTACATATATTCTCTTCTACTGAAATATGGTACTGTCAGATAACCCAAAATTAAAGGTTGCAGATAAATCTTTGGGGGGATTAGCAAATTGGTTTTTACATTTGTACTACCTTAGTTCTGATGAAACTTCTTCATATTTTTCAGGATGTTTAGAGCAGTTTCAGAAGCTGTCAAGGACAGCCGCTTTATATTTGGGGAGTCACATTATTTCCTCCACAGTTAGGGCTAGGGTTATGCTGAGGGCAATCAGCAGAGGTGAGCCTGATGAAAGAAGAGTCTGCTTTTACAATTTCAAAAGAGGAGCTTGGTGTGTGCTCCTTAAGGGTTCTAAAGAATCTCTTATGAACAGCCCTATAAAAAATTGCTACATTGTAAAGTATAGGAAAGGGTATCAGAGGATAAAGTCATCACTTTTTTCTCTTCATTAGGTGTTCCCTATTATTCAAATCAGGCCTCAAGACAATTATATAACATTTGGGAAGAAAGATGCAGCCCAACAAACCGC